TAACGCCAGACTGTTATTGTATGCAGGGGTGTGATTGAACAAAAATGAAAAATCCACGAACTTCGGTTGACACGTATACATGTACATGTACATGTATTATTAGGTGTTGGGCCTCAGCCCAACACCTATTGTTATTGTAAGAATTTACTATTATTCTTTTTATTCTTCAAGACACATTTCTTCTCCAGAACTGTTTGTTAACATGAAAACATATATGAACTTCAATTGTCAATACATGAATGCACAACCAACTGAAGCTTTTTTGCAATTACGTCATCATGACGTCATCATGGGTCACGTGACGTCACTTCAAAAAATAATATATTTAATCTTTGAAATTCAATATAAAATCAACCGTGAGAGACCGGAACTTGAATTTTGCGGGAATCGACATGATAATGTATGATCTTCATTTTATCTTGTGTGCGTCAAATCACGTGACCCTTCCTTCCGGTCGAAACCGGAAGTGTCAAATAATTTAAAAGTGGGAAAAGATATGAACTTGCTTTCAACGATGTAAGAGTCTGCCTGGATTGACCTTTCAAAAAAAAGATCGGTGACGTCATGAATTGTTTGAGCGCTCTCTAGCGGCCGGTTAAAAAATGTCAAAACGCATTTTCAGTTTATGTTTGTTGCGAAATTTGCGGTAATCGCTTCAAAATTCATACAGATGATGACCTTAATACAGGCAACACCTGTGCGCAAACAAAAATGATTACGTCATCAGACCGGAAGTTACAATGAAAAGACCTCTTTTCCTTTGAAAATTGCTGAAAAATCAACCGTCAGAGATATAATCAAGTTTTGTGCTTTAAATGGCACTTTAATAATAGGTCTAAAACTTCTCAAAGTTTCGTTTCAATAAGTAAACTTGGAGATGCCCTGCAGCCCCCTTGAAATTTGAAGTTGAACACACCTACGTCTTGAAACGCTCATTTAATGCCACGTACATTGTGTGTACAGCAAATGGGGATGATTGCGTACAAAGGGAAATTCCCGAAAAACAGTGCGCTATGATTCCGTACAAAAGGGAATTCCCAGTGCTTGCTTTCTGAGTGTCTGGTTTTACGACTGTTGTATGTTAACTATTGAGCTTCATGTAACGGCTGTTTGATGAACCAATGTATCTTAAGTGTTTACCAGTGTTTTGTACACGTTTACATGATAACTTCTTAACGCAAGCACATTGTTGACTTCTGATGACGTCATATAATTCTCACAAATTGGGCTGGCAAAACCGCCCAATTGGGCGCTTTTTTTTAAATTGGGCGCTTTTTTTCCAAAAACATGCGCATTAGGGTAAAAAGATATATGGCAAGCAATATTTTGTATTGCGCCAATGGTGTGCGACCTTTACTTTTAGCTATTTAATGGGTTTCTGTATACTTGATCAGTTTACAGTACAGCAGCATATGCGCATGCAGATCCTCTGTGTCAGAAAGTAGTAGTATTGATTGTGCTGACTAGCGCCCTCTTGTGGTTTGCATATTCATTTGGCTTACTGCTGGATAGCATGTAGGGCGCCCTCTATAATATCCTTATTTTCCAATCACATTTTTGTCCGTAACTTCCGTTCCAGCGTTTGATCCAAACTTAACGCAAGAGGCTAAAGCGGCAATTCCAAATTTCCTGCTGATGTTGCAAGCCTAGGATTCCCCTGAATGTTCGACGATTGAGTGTTCCTCCAGGTTTCATCTGATTGTTTTTGGAGCTCAGATATTGAGTTTATTATAACCACGGGAAAATCTCACGGGAAAATCTCACGGGAAATCTCACAGGGATGACTTTCAACCTCATACACGGGATTAACATCAGAGCAGGGTGGATAAGCTGGCACTGTAATTAACTGGTTCACTTTCATCCAACCGGTTTGCATCGTTCAATAAACAGTCTACTTGGCTTTAAACGGGTCTCAACACCCTCACGTTTTTTCATGGTCCTTCGAACCGGATTCGAACCAATGACCTATGGATCGACTGCCAACATCCACCCGTCCATCCCGGACTGTTCATCCACCCAAGCGCTTTGAAGATTTTGCACTCGGTTCCCCTACTGGTAGCCATCGCACTTCCTCCACAACTTCATATCACTCAAGCCGGTCAAGCTGTTCCCACATCTCCCAACTGAGCGACTCACAAGCTGCGAAGCTCACCGCCATGAGGAAGCAATCCCAGCTTCAGGAACTCCAACGGCAGATAGCCGAAGATGAGTTATACGACACACAACTTAAAGAGCAGGATGACCGAGCCAGAGCAGCACGTATGCAGCTTGAGGAAGTTGAATGTCAAGCGCTAAGAGAGCGAGAGACAATTACGACGCGTCTTTCTAGACGAAGAAGACTGCGTCAAGCCGAACTCAAACTACGAGATGCCGAGGCTGTTCAATCATTTTTGCAAGAGGATGCAGATCCAGCTATCCATGACATCAGTGAGATTCCATGCTCCCAGCCAACTGCTGATCCAACCCTGTCGCTGAGCAATACATCTTTGAACACCCCAGATGTAGCCGAGACTGACCAGACTGTACTGACCACTTCACAAGTCCCTGTGAATGGTTCACCTCCCAGTGCACCCACCTGCTCTATTACTGGACAGCAACCAGTTACTCCAGTGAGCACCCCGCAGGAAACAGGATGCGACTCCCTGAAACCAGTGTTCCCAACCAGTAACACGCTCCAACAGACGAATCATACTCCTGTCTGCAACCCTGGTGCACCACCGTCATCAGTCATCACGCCAATATCTCCTCCCACTTTGGGAACTGTTCCAGAAATTGCATCAGTGAACACCAACCTCATGGATCTCCTCATGGCATCATCCCTCGGTGTACCAAAACCAACCCTGCCGAAGTTTTCCAGTGGTAGGGAGAAAGACTTTGCGCTGCTGAATATTGCTCTCCAGAACCTGGTTAATGTTCACCCGCATCTCAGCGAGCAATACAAGTACCAAGTGCTAATCGGCAGTTTGGACGGCAAGGCCCTGAAGCTTGCGAAATCCTACCTCCATAGCAGCCAGCCATACACCAAGGCATTGGCAGCACTGAGCGACAAATATGGTCAACCCCGTCAGCTGGTGCAGACTGAAATAGCTGCAATTATGATGACACCGCCAATCAAGCACAACGATACCGAGTCCTTTGAAGACTTCTGTCTTGATGTATCCTCCTTGGTGGGCATGCTTGAATCCTTAGACAGCCAAGCCAAGGTGTAGCTTCGATGTGGCTCACATGTAGACAAGCTGCTGAGCAAACTCTCCCCGAGTCTCCGCACCAGTTTCATAGAGCACTGCATCAAGAAGGGTATACGCAAGCCGAACTCAGGTGAAACGTACACTCTTCCTCAGTTCGCCGCGTGGCTAAAGTTGAAGTCGTAGTCGCAGATGCTCGCTAAACAAGCTGTAACTGGTCACATCCAAGATCAGAGTAGTTCCAGAGTAAACAGAGACCATCGACCGGTGAAGCAGAAGCCAACTCCAACATCTGCATTCCTGACAGGTGGAAAGCAGGAAAAATCTGTGAGCCCCAAATACACCAAGCCGAAGCCAAAGCCGTTCTGTCCATTCTGTGATGGTAAAGATCACTTCTTGAATGGCTGTCAGACCTTCAAGGCACTTTCTACCGAGGAGATAGTGAAGTGGATCCAAGAGAATAAACGCTGTTGGAAGTGTTGCCGCAAGCATGAACCTGATGCATGCACCTTGAAGAAACCATGCCACCAGTGTAAGGAACTGCACCTTACAGTTCTGCATGAGGCTGCCCAGAAGGCTACAAGTGTTTTCATGGTGAAACCTACAAGCCAGTCCGTTTATGTGGACAAACCTAGCCGACCATGCAATACCATGCTGAAAGTGGTAAGAGTTATCCTCCACGGTCCAGACAGCAACATTGACTCTTATGCAGTACTTGATGATGGATCTGAGCGAACCATGTTACTTCAAGATGCAGCACAACAGCTTAAACTCAGCGGAACACCAGAGACTATGCATCTACGAACAGTCAGAGAAGACCTTGTCATCTGTCAAGGTCAATCCGTGTCTCTGTCTGTGTCACCCCATGACAAGCCAGATGTGAAGTTCTCCCTGGATGGTGTCTTTGCTGCTGATAACCTATGCCTGTCCGAATACACGTATCCAGTCAAGATACTGCAAGAGTGCTACCCACATCTTCGTGACTTGCCACTGCCTTTGGTTGATAAAGCTCGACCAGTCATCCTAATTGGGTCAGATCACGTTGACCTCATCGCCCCAAGACGACCTATCAGGTTCGGTCCTAGTGGGACACCAGTAGCCGCTCTCACAAGATTGGGTTGGACTCTCCATGGACCAGCCAGCATTTTGAAGCAGAAAGCTGGTGAGCAACGGTGCTTCAAAGTCTCAGCCCAATCAGAGACAGCCGAGCTGATGAGGCACGTTGAGAAACTTTGGCAAGTTGATGTTGTGCCTTATGTGAACAAAAAGCACGTCGTTCGCTCCAAGCAAGATCAACGTGCGGTGCAACTTCTAGAAGACAACACTGCCCGTGTGGATGAGGGAGGAATTCAGCGTTATGTAACTCCCCTCTTGCGAACTGACAACGCCAAGTTCCATGCTCCAAAGGAGGCTGTCCTTCCAACCCTTAGAAGAACAGAAGGCGCCTTGCAACCCGACCATCGCTGGCAGAGAAACACAACGAGCTGATCCAGAAGCTAGTAGATGCTGGTTACGTCAGAATCCTGGCAGCGGAAGATGCTGCAAAGTCTGAAGAATCCTGGTACATTCCACATCACACAGTCGAACACAACGGGAAATTTCGCCTTGTGTTTAATTGCTCCTTCCAGTATCAGAACCAGATACTCAATGAGCACCTACTTCCTGGTCCATCCCTCGGTGCATCGCTCCTTGGGGTACTGTTGCGTTTCCGCCAACATGCTGTAGCAGTGTCAGGGGACATTAAGGCAATGTTCCACCAAGTAAGACTAGCTGCAGCCCACCGAAAGATGTCTTTTCCGCTTCCTGTGGAGAAACATGAAGACCGACACCGAACCCAAGATCTATGAGTGGCAGGTACTACCCTTCGGAGCAACATGCAGCCCCTGTTGCGCCACTTATGCGCTACGTAAGCATGTCTTTGATCATCGAGAGAAGTCTGCTGAAGTTGCTGATGCAGTGGATAGATCGTTCTACGTCGATAACTGCCTAGTCAGTGTACCACAGGAAGACGAAGCCAAGACTCTCGTCCACAACATGCGTGACTTGCTTGCCAAGGGTGGTTTTGAGATTCGTCAATGGGCCAGTAATGTACCCAACGTTGTAGCCGATCTCCCTCCTGAAGCACGTTCAGATGGCTGTGATCTCTGGCTGACGTTTGGAGAGACAGACTTGGCCGAACCCATGCTCGGACTCCAGTGGGACTGTAGCACGGATGATCTGCAATACCGGCACCGGGTAGTCAACTATGATTGCCTGAACATGAGAAACATGTAAAAACCTTAGCCAGCCAGTATGATCCAAATGGGAACCTCACACCATTCACTGCCAGAGCCAGAGTTATCGTACAGGACTTATGGAAGACCAAACGTGACTGGGACGATGCCCTGGAGCCTGGAGAGATTATGGACCGATGGCGAGCCTGGGAAAATGAGCTACCAAACCTGTCTGTCATCAAACTAAATAGATGTTACACGCCCCCTGATGTCAACCCAGAAACAGCCAGTCGCCAGCTTCACATCTTCTGTGACGCGTCTGGGAGGATCTACGGTGCAGTCGCCTACCTCCGGACGGAAGATGAGACGCATATCGTACACACCAGCTTTGTAATGGCCAGGTCCCGAGTTGCGCCAAAGAAACAGCTCTCCATGCCCCGCCTCGAGCTCTCGGCCGCTTTGGCAGGGGCTCAATTGTCCAGTCTCCTTCAGCAAGAGTTGACTCTACCCCTAGAAGATATTGTTCTCTGGAGTGATTCTACGACAGTCCTGACATGGCTGAAGTCGGAGTCCTGTAGGTATAAAGTCTTTGTGGGGACCCGAGTGGCCCAGATCCGGACCCTGCCTGACGTCGACCAATGGCGCTACGTTGACACGAAAAATAATGCAGCTGATGATCTGACAAGAGGGAAAAGTCTGCTGTCACTCAGTCAACCCTGCAGATGGCGAGATGGGCCACCATTCCTATACGCAAGCCCTGATCTTTGGCCAGCCTTCCCACCTGCCCTAGCTGAGGATTCCTCAGAGCTGAAGAAATCCTCCTTCTGCGGTATAGTGACCGTGGAACTGGCTGACATCCCAGACCTGGGGAAGTACAAATCTATGGAGGCATCTATGGAGGCATCTAAGCAGCTCTGTGACGGGGCGGCGAAGGATGATGGTCCTGTTGAACTAACAGCTGATCAGCGAGCAGAAATTGAGCTTCACCTATTCCAACGAGCCCAGAAATCCAGTTTTCCCGAAGAGTGGGGTGCCCTCAAGGATGGTAAGGAGCTCCCTCGAGGAAGTAGACTGCTGCAGCTCTCGCCAGAGTGGGATGCAGATGACCAAGTCATCAGAGTTGGGGGCCGGCTGCGTCATGCTGAAGGAATCCCGCTTTTCACCAAGCATCCAATTGTGCTCGACCCCGCACATCATGTAACTAAGCTCCTTATCCATGCACTATGGTCCAGAAATCAGAAGAACCCTCATAGAAAATCTCTGGCAAAATCCTATGTTTTTCCTATTGAAAATACATTTTTAAGCTATTTTCTCCTAGAAAATAGGAACAAAATATATTTTATTTCTATTACGTCAAAATGAGTACATGTTGCCACTCTATTTTATTTCTATTTTTAAAACTGCACGCTATTTTATGACTATTTTTGGAGACTTAGACATTTTTGTGTGGTTCACAGTCTATTTTTCGTCTATTTTCTGGACACTTACACATGTTTATGAGAACCATGGACTATTTTTTGGCTATTTTGTAGACATATGCTCAGTACAACACAATCTGAAGGCCAAGCACTTAATTTGCATACCAGATAAACATCCTGTTGTGTGTGGCAAGTTTGAATTTTGTCAGTTGCATTCTGAGAGCCCTTTGTGAAGCACAGCTGCAGTAGAGATGTGTGCAATGGGGGCAAGTATATCTGGGGTTAAAATGCATCCAAATCACTGTAATGGAGTGACAAGTGCACCACATGGTTAGTAGATTTTCCAGGACAATTATGAGTAACATTCTTGTACCATTTCAAGCTGTATTTTGCTGAAAAAGCACGCACAACCGTAGCATGTTGAACCAAAATGTTTTAATAACTTGATGGTGCATGATGTATGTGTATGTTAATTGTTTGGACACTGTGTTGTCACAGCATTATTACTGTTCATGGTAATAGACATACACGTATTTTTTCTCAATTATTCCATTCTTATGCAGTCATATTGCTTGCTCACTTCATGTGCCGTATGTTTGAGGACTGCTAAAGATGCCTATTGTCCACAAGGACATGTGTACTATTAACATGTATGTCCACGTATTATAACAGTTGTTTGGACAGACGCCATTTTGTATTTTTTAAAAATAGCATAATTTTTTTTAAAAAGCATGCTATTTTTTAAAAATAGCAACCTATTTTACCTCTATTTTACCTGTATTTTTTAAAAAGATATTTTTTCACTATTCTATTTTTTCGCTATTTTTGGGGGTGTCGAAATACAATGGAAAAAAATAGATTTTTAAAAAATGTATTTTCAATAGGAAATAAATATATTTTTTCTCTATTTTATTTCGACCTGGGAAGATTCTGGATTCTGCGTGGTCGACAGGCTGTCCGCAAACATCAGCGTCAATGTTCTGACTGCCAGAGGTGGAAAGCCACTCCAAGTGTCCCTAAGATGGGGGATCTTCCTTCTGCCCGCCTCCGCATCCAGCAGCCGCCATTCTACTCCACAGGCGTTGACTGCTTTGGGCCGATGACCGTCAAGATAGGCAGGCGAACAGAGAAGGGTTGGGGCATCATTTTCAAATGCATGACAACGAGAGCAGTGCATTTAGACCTACTTGAGAGTCTTGACACAGATGCCTTTCTGATGGCTTTCCGAAGATTCGTATCCCGAAGGGGGAAGCCGTATGAGCTGCTGTCGGACTGCGGAACCAACTTCAAAGGGGGTGCTTCCGAGCTGAAGGAAGCCTTCTCAGCGATGGATCCAGCCCTACAGCAAGAGCTTGCCAAACACCAAGTAAGATTTCGTTTCAACCCTCCAAATGCCCCGCATTTCGGAGGATTGTGGGAGAGAGAGATCAAGTCAGCCAAGTATGGCCTGCGAGTTGTCCTCAATGATCAGATGGTACCAGAGCAAGTCCTTCGCACAGTACTCATCGAGGTTGAAGGAATTCTCAATTCGAAGCCTCTTGGCTACACATCCTCAGACATCGCCGACATTGACCATGTCACACCGAATGTCCTTCTGATGGGGCGCTACGACCCAGCTTTACCTCAAGTGGTCTATCCAGCCAAAGACCTGTTGGGCAGACGTCAGTGGAAGCATAGCCAAGTTTTTGCAGACCACTTCTGGACCAGATTCTCCAAGTTCTACCTACCTTCACTTCAGAGTCGTCAGAAGTGGCAAAGAGATGTGGTGGGTTTGTCCAAGAACGACGTCGTCATGATCATTGACCCGAATCTCACTCGGGCGCAGTGGCCTATCGGCAGAGTTACTGAAACCTTCCCTGGACCGGATGGTCGTGTCCGGAGTGCCGACGAGAGAGTCAGAAACAATGTCTACACACGTCCTGTAGCTCGGCTGATTCAACTCCCTGAGATGAGCAACAACGATGAACTCAAGGACGCTCCGACCTCATAGGTTGATGAACAGTTGGATGGTTTCACAAGATGCTTTCTTTTGTACTTATAAATTTGTTTCCCAAATTTAGGGGCGGCTGTGTCAGAAAGTAGTAGCTGTATTGATTGTGCTGACTAGCGCCCTCTTGTGGTTTGCATATTCATTTGGCTTACTGCTGGATAGCATGTAGGGCGCCCTCTATAATATCCTTATTTTCCAATCACATTTTTGTCCGTAACTTCCGTTCCAGCGTTTGATCCAAACTTAACGAAAGAGGCTAAAGCGGCAATTCCAAATTTCCTGCTGATGTTGCAAGCCTAGGATTCCCCTGAATGTTCGACGATTGAGTGTTCCTCCAGGTTTCATCTGATTGTTTTTGGAGCTCAGATATTGAGTTTATTATAACCACGGGAAAATCTCACGGGAAAATCTCACGGGAAATCTCACAGGGATGACTTTCAACCTCATACACGGGATTAACATCAGAGCAGGGTGGATAAGCTGGCACTGTAATTAACTGGTTCACTTTCATCCAACCGGTTTGCATCGTTCAACAAACAGTCTACTTGGCTTTAAACCGGTCTCAACACTCTCACGTTTTTTCATCCTCACCTGACTCTTTTTAACTATCCTCTGTATAATTACTACACGCGCTATTTTTCAACTTTCAACCCTCAACATCAACATCAACATCAACAATCAACATTAACATTAACATCAACAATCAAGGTCAACATCAACAATGGCCCAACACCGTGTGGTTGTTCCTACAACCTCTAGTTGTACATGTACTTGTATAGATGTACATGTATACATGTACATGCACGTATGTCCGTATATAGGGCATGTACATTTTATGTACTGTAATTTCTGTACTGTTTGCAAATTTTGTCGCTTCAGTAAAGAAAACAAATGGGGGAAAAATGAGGAAAAAAGTCTGGTCATTAAATAATATATTCCATACGTGATTGATTCAATAATGTCTGTTTCTGTGTGTGATGTTATTATTTTTGCTGGTTTGCAGAGAGAAAGAAACGATTCACACACAAAAATATGAACGGTGCTTAAAAAGTAATAGTAATACTAATCTTACTTTAAACTCCCAGGCTTCCAAAACATTTTTGAAATTGTGTGTTGGTGGTGGCTATTCAACTGAGCACTACTGCAGCTCAAACTGATTTCCATCTGAGCGCCCTCTCTTTAAACGACACCGGCGAGTGTCTCGTGCAAAATGGCGCCGCAGGGAAGGCACTGTTCGAGAACAACCAAAATGGCATCGTCATACATCATGAATATTGGATTTGATCTTGAATATTCATTAATAAGATCGATCCGCCCATACACTTTCGCCGCGAATTTTAACGAATGACTCCGCCGTCAAATTGACGGTATTTATCCTGGGAGCGGTTTTACTAGACTCAGGACGATCTGTTACTGACTGTGTATCAAATATTATTTGCTTTCGGTGTATTTTCGTTCACCTCGCGCCTGCATATTACATCCCTGCTGAGGAGATTATGCAGTAGTCCACCAGAGAACCAGAACCAGAACCTTATGTTTGCAAGATAATTAAATCGGACCATTTTGTAGGCAGCAATTTTTTTTCAAATTTAGCACATGTTTAGGTTTGCACATAGTCTAGGGCCAAGGAATTTTTCAACCTACACGGTTGCTGTAATTTTAAAGATTACAATTTTTACAAAACTATGACCATTTTTTCCCCCAGTTTGTAAGGTTAAGTACATGTATTTAAGTTAAGTGTAGTATTTATTTAGGCCCTATTATTAATATTTTTTTTGGGGGGGGGGGTGTTTTTAAAATTAACTTTCAAACAGGAGGAATTTTTGTGTTCTTGTGAAGATAACAAAAGTATATAACAAAAGTATATTCATAAAATACGAGCCCTTTAAATGTACCAGCCCAACGGTTTCACTTCAATTCAATTCTGTGAAGTTTATTTCGTGCATCCGATTAAATGAACAAGTTGCAAAATTGTTCGGAAAAATAAATGCACCAGGGTTAGCTGTAAAAAAAAAATAAACAGGAACAATTTTCGTACCAGGTATTGTTAAAAAAAAAAGAATTAAACTTAAAGAATTTTTGTATAAACGACAATGAAGTATCTTCAACGTACCAGTTCAACGGTGACATGACACGTACATGTAGTCCCTACCGAATGTTATAATAAGTAGGCCTATACCCCTGTTTTCCCACCGAAAGGCTGCGTTTGCAACCAAAATGCATTACTGGACCATACAAGCCCAGTCTAATGTGGCTTTCGCGAACCTGGGATTCCCGGGTTCGTATTCATGAGCCCCCTACTAAGATAATGGCTATTTAATCAGTTGACGACCATAAATATGTTCGCACATACTAATAAAACAGGTGGGAGTGCAGTGATTTGTCCTTGATAAACAGTCAGGCTATCCCCAAAGTATGTGCGTCTGTTGTCTAGAGCCAGCCTGCCTCCCATCAGAATTTGAGTGACGAGTGACGAGCCAGTTAAGTGCTGGAAAGCTACCTACAGCTAAGAAAGCCACATTAGACTGGGCTTGGTCCAGTAATGGACTTGTTTTTCCACCGAAATGACATATTTCCCACATGTTTTTACAGTGTTTTCCCAGAACCGAATTTAAAATGGTGTGTTTACCCAACCAAAATCACGAATAATCTACCAAAAAAACCTGTCCGAATCTGAAGTGTCTGGCAACCACCTGTAAGTTTGGAAACTTCCTGAAGGATGCCTTAAGGGATCGACTGGTGTGTGGGTTGATCAACACCACATGTCAGAAGAAGCTGTTAACCGAGAAAGAGCTGTATTTTGACAAGGCACTGCAGCTGGCGGTAGCATTTGAGATGGCAAATAAGCAAGCTCAGGAGCTACATATACAACCAAGAGCCAGTCTGGAGGTGAAAAAGATGACTGCCCAGCAAGTCTTCACTCCAAAGAGGAAACCAGCACCCACTGCAATAAGTGTACGTGGGCCTAAATCGGCACAGAACCAACCAGGTAATGGGAACTGCTACCGATGAATTGGTCAACATTCGCCAAGGGAATGTCCCTTCAAAGGAGCAACATGCTATTGATGTAATAAAGTTGGGCACATCTCAAAGGCATGAAGAAAGAAACCGTACCAGAATCAGACACCAAAGGATGGCAAGTCTTCGAAGTCTGTGAAACACGTGGCCGCAGACGTGGACAGTGATGAATCAGGCGACTTTCTGGTTTACACGATAAGTTTGGTGAGCTCACCAGCAAAGGGCATCGCTGTGACTGTTGACCTAGCAGGATCTTCAGTAGAGATGGAGCTGGATACCGGGGCAGCTGTATCCATCATATCGGATAAGACCTACCAGCAGCAGTTTTCAAGCTGGCCATTGGAACCGTCGTCCGTGAAACTGAAAACCTATGGAGGAGAATCCATAGAAGTGCGGGGAAAACTCACTCTGCCAGTAACGTACGAGCGTCAGACACATACACTGCCACTGTACGTAGTGGCGGGAGACAAGCCAGCCTTATTCGGTCGGAACTGGTTGGACAAAGTCAAGGTGAACTGTCCTCAGATCTTCAGAGTACAAGACACAAGCGGAGCAGCCAAGGATTCTCCACATGTCAGTCATCCAGCCAAGGACATAGCAGGACTGAAAGAACAGTATCAAACGGTATTTAGTGAGAAGGGGGCCCATGATCACTGAGTTCAAGGCGCACATACATATTGTAACGGCGGTGCCGGGCCGCCGGCAGAGGGCGCCAGCACGGACCCACGGTGCAACCGTAGCGTTGGGACCCCTGCTGCTGGGCCAGGGAGACCCGTTGCCAGACTGCGCCGACTCAGTAGTGTGACTTTTGTATAGCGTTCCCTTTTTGTTGTGAGTTGTATAAAGAGAGAGCCTCGTGTAAAGAAAGTGGAAAGAATAAATGGCCGGAGAGCCCCGAAACCCTGAAGAATAGTGTCAGTGGTTTCCTTCGTCTGGCGTGTGAGAACCCCAGATTCGTTCTACGTTACATTGGTGGCAGCCGTGGCATGTCTGACGGAGGAAAAACATGTGGAACTTGGAGTGTTTTTCGCCATGAATACACCGGGTCGAGTTAGTCTGGCGTCCGACTCGCCACGCGGCGGGTACGCACGCTGGATCAGGGCCTCGCAGAGCGTAAACCAACCTGGTGAGATGGCCAGCAAAGCGTTCGTCACGTTGGATGACTCGGAGTTGGACTTTTTCAGGGTTTCGGGGAGCCAGCTAGGCCCACATGCTAAATCCCATGGAGAATCGCGTCGCGCTGTGCACCACGGCGCAACAGACGCTCCGTTCCACTCGGAACACTGCCGAGTTGTGCCTGTTGATAAAGCGGGGCTGGCCGGGCTTGATCGTCCGGAGACACCCTGCATCAACACACGTGCCAGGTCCCCGCCGAGGGGTCGCCCCGTGCTGTAGACGATGGCGCAACAGACGGTTCGTTCCACTCGGAGCGATCCCGATTTGTGCTGTCCGATGCAGCGGGGGCGGGGCTTAGTGTAAAGAAAGTGGAAAGGATAAATGGCCGGAGAGCCCCGAAACCCTGAAGAATAGTGTCAGTGGTTTCCTTCGTCTGGTGTGTGAGAAGAACCCCAGATTCGTTCTATGATTGATAATGCTAAACCTGTGTTTTGCAAGGCGCGTCCCGTACCGTATGCTCTGAAAGAAAAACTAGAAAAAGAGTTGAAAAGGATGCAAGATGAAGGCATCATAAGTAAGGTAGAACGCAGTGAATGGGCCTCGCCTATTGTACCAGTACCTAAGCCTGATGGTAGTTTGCGATTGTGTTGTGATTATAAGGTGTCAATCAATAAGTTGTTAGATGACACACAGTATTCCTTGCCAAATGCAGAGGACCTTTTTGCGACACTAGAAGGGGGAAAGATTTTCACAAAATTCGACCTCACACAAGCATACCTACAGCTCGAGTTGGATGCAGAGTCCAAAAAGTTCCTGTAGTTGATGCTGAGGGTATCCACCCAACTGTGGAGAAGTTGGAAGCGATC